GCATGGCACCATGAAAGAAAAACAGTGTCTTCTAGCCTCAACCCTATACATCTTGGAAATGTGGGACTATAAGCAGCTTCTTCCTATAGAATCTAGTGGGACAGGCTGATTCTGGTTGGAGCAGGTACTCTTGCAAGTAACCATCACAGGCTTTATAGGTCAACACCAGCACCTTAAATTGTACCTGACAACCAGTGTGGGGCCTGCAGAATCAGTGTTATGTGTTCCCAAAGTATGCGGGCTGCCATATTTTGGATCAATTTCAGTTTCCAAGTTGTCTTTAAGGCAGTTCAAGTAAATCACAAAGAAAATGTGTAATTTACTTTGCTGCACAAAATGGAGTAGAAGTTATCAGTTTAATGGTTTTAAAAGAGGAGTAAACAACTTCAGAGTTCTTATTTAGTTATCATGATGCCTTTGTGGGGCATTCACTTGGAAGTGACTATGAAATGGACCAGCGCTTTCATGAACTATATGGGTTTCCTGATGGTGACTGTAGAAAATGGGATGTTAAACTGGATGGACCTTTGATCTTATCCAGCAAGTTCTTTCTGACATTGTTATGCCTTTTCCAATTAACACTCTGTACAAATGCTCGGCTTCTGGGCCATTTTTTACACTGTCAGCCAAGTTGGTACTGGAGAAGAAAAGCATCTGTGGCCTTTACAGAGCAGATCACCTCCAGGGTCAACCAGTTTTCCTTGATTATTTGTTGTTGTTCTTGAGGAAATGAAGATAGAAAACTAAAATCTCTGTGCAATAGGATATTGATATAATAGGTCTGGTTCATAATGATACAAAGGTTGAGTGAAGATACATGTGCTATTCTGTGCTTTTGTGGCCCCATACACTTAAATCCCTAAACACATAAATGTTCCAGGATTCTTAAATGCTTTAGTGGTAGTGCAGTGAAGTCTGTAAGCTGCTCACTTTGTCTTAAATACTGTTGGGTTTTGTAATATAAACACTTCTGCATTAGTACAATAATACAGCAATTGCTAAGAGAGAGGTAATATGTTTCTTACAGCAGAAATAACTTAGTAAAAGAATATGTCATAAAGTTAATATTGTGAATGTATTTCTATGTGTTTTATGTATTATTTTGTAGAATGGTAATCCATGTTTGAACTACAAACTATTTGAGTTAGCAGCATAAGGGGCTGTTTACAGCTCTCAGTGTGTGTTCATGGGTGTGCACACAGACATAGCATCCTAAAATGACCATGGAATTGCAGTAAAGCAGGCACGGTCAGTTTTAGCATTTTTATGTCAAACTGGCTGCAGGGCCATAGAATATAATTAATCATGAAAGATATGTAGATTAGCTCAACGTGACTGGATCAATGTTTCTATTTTTTATAATGTCTCTCACTTTAAAGGTCTGTTGCTGTGATCACTGGTACCAAGCAAATATCTTTAATGGGGAGGAATGATTTTTACCTGTATATATAGTCATATTTCATCCAGCTGTTGAAATGTTTCCTAGTATACTAGCACTGGTTCTTCAACAGCAAAGTGTTAAACAAGTTACGTGCCACAGTTTGTAGAAAGCTAATATGCAAAGGCTTAGATATGGATGGAAACAGAGCAGCACTGGATCATGTAACAAGTCTGGCAGAGACTGTAATTCATGGATTGGGAACCTGTGGTTCTCCAGCTGTTGCTGCACTACAACTCCCACCATCTCTTCCTATTATGCATACACTGTCTGTGACTATTGGGAACTACAGTTCAGCAACATATAAAAAGTCCCAGGTTGCCTTCTGCTCTGCAAGGGAAGGGCTTTAGATTGATAATGCCTTCTATTGCAAAAGGTACCATGGGCTATCCCTCGTATTTCCATATAGCACTGGAAAAAATTGTTTTGTAAATGTTCTGCCACTTAATATAGGCTATAATGGGATTGACGTGTTAGTGCCACCATGTACCATGATTCCTAAGGTTACAATAAGCAACCATATTGGGGGGATGAAAGTTATGATTTCTGTTGTCAGTGTTCATCTCCTTGGATCACTGTAGATCTGAACTTTTACGTTCTGATGATCAACTGCTTAGTAAACCATTTACTTTTGTGAGCCGCAGCTCAAATTCAAAATTTTTTGTAAGCCACACTGTGCATTCATGAAAATCTGACATTGTGGAAAGGCTATATCTGTCCATCACTTTGTGTGGACTTTTTTTTTTTTGTACTGAAAGGAAAAAAAAACATTGAAAGTGAAAGAGATCATCTTAGTACATGAGAACAAGTTTCCTTATCGTTTTCAGATATTTTCACTGGGCATGGAATCACTTTGTTAGACTTCATGCCTTTTACAACTTTATTAATGAAGCTTACTGACCGTCACATTACACCTTAGAATTAGAATGGAGGATGATGTGTCACAAAATAGGTTGCCTAAAATTTTCTAAAGGATCTATCTTGGCTGGAGGTGCCACTGAATTTTCAAACTGAGAATTTTGAATGCCCACAGTCCCAATCTTTTCAGGCCAATATCAATATCAGTATCAATTGAGATAAATTGAGAGTTGATATTGATATTGAGAGTTGAGAGACTAGTGATTTTTTCCCCTTCTGTGCCTTTTTAGTAATTTCTACTTACCTATTTGTAAGTTTATTTGAACATGACCTTAGGGAAGACTCATACCAGACCCTTGTTAGGCTTTTATATGATTTTACAAGTATACTCATGGCTATCAGGCATCATTCAAATGCCTTCCCAGTAATTCTTAACATTTCTAAACAGGACCTATATTGCAGGAACTGCATGAAAAGACACCAGGGACTATAGAGATGGAACTATGAAATTCCATTTCCAGTGGTTACTGGAATATCTAGTAAAATGAAATAATGGGACTGATGTACCTTTCCATTGCATAGTCCTGCTTCCTGAGGATTGGTAGTAGATAGACCTTCCATAAGTTCAGAGAAAAGAACTTAGTCTTCCTGGAACTGATGACTCAGACAAGTTCAGAAGGAGGGCATTGCTATAGTGCTCCCTTATATGAGTTGTACCTAGCTGCTAAGATAAGGCTGGCTGGAACTTCCAGGCTGAGAAACCCAACTCAGCAGGAGCTGCTCCAGAGCTGTGCTCCTAAAGGTCTACATGGATAATATACTTCAGGTTTAAGTTCATTTCCTGGAGGCCCAGTTACCTCCTTGGGCAAGCACAGTTCATTGGAGGACCCCAGTAGTCTCCCATGGCATGCTGGCTGGGCTTGGCTTAAGTCATAAGGAGGCCTGGGCCAAGATGCACCAAAGTGGTTCTACGGAATAAGCGAAGGCTTGCCGGGAGAGAGGTAGATCACTAGCTGCTACTGCTTTCCCTGAATGAGTGCAGCTAGGGATGGAGAGATCATCTCCAAATGAAGTATATCCCGACTAGCTGGATTTTTATACTGAATTTATTCAGAGGGTCCTGCTGAGTCATCTCCTTGCCCAGGAGAAACTACACAAGGCTTTCCCAGGTTTGATTGTATTTGGGCTCCCTATAGGATTATTCCTTTCCTCTTAACTCAGTTTCTATTCTATTTAAGTGTCTAATCCAGTCAGTTTTTCAACAAGATATATACATGCTTGCTCTATGTCTCCATAATGGAAATTTTGGCTCTATAAGCAGCGTTGATATTGAAGATGAGCAAACAATCATATTTGTTGGGGTGGGGGAAGGGTAGAAGGATCCTCACAAACATTGTTCTTAAGTAATCCTGTGTCTCCTCCCATACTTGCCATGTTAATTAAGGAGTTTCCTTCTTTAAAGCCAAAAATGATGCAGTATTGGGATTTCAGGGAAGAGGAAAGGGCTTTTCTGGATTTCATTAGACTAGGGCTTATACTGAATCTGCAAAGAACCATTGTTATTGTCATCTGTAAAATCTGCATGTGGATTATTATTATTATATTTGTTTGTAGTAGGCCAAATTTCCAAAGAGAACCTATGGTAGAGGATGAGGTGTGAATGTTTCTGGACATTATCATTCACCTATTGATGTCATTGCAATGGTTTTTCAGTAAGGAATGGGACCTCAGGTTTTTGTGTGTTTTTTTTTTTGTTGCAGTTAGAATTGCTTTGAAAAACAGTAAGTGCAACCCACGGGGTCGATGCATTTTCACAATTCAGTTTACAGTGCAAGTGAAAATTGTTTCAAGCACTTTCTGTAAGTGCTTGAAATCAAGGTGTCATGGAGTTATTTACCGAAACCACAAAAATGCAAGAAACATACCCATACAGACAAGAATCTTTACAAATAACAGAATATTTATTACCAATAACTTTAAAAAAGATTACATCTGCTAGATCACTGATAAATATCATTTACACTGGGGAGAAAAACTACATAGGCTTTTTTTCTTTTGTTTTCTTTCTTTTGTGGGTTTTTTTGTTTTGTTTTTGTTTTTACATAGAAGTAACCATATCAAACAAAGAAAGGAACACAGCTTGAAATACTGACAATATTTCTCTGATTAACATCCCCAACTTACACAAGTGGAAACCTGATTATGAGTTATTTAATAAATATATTTTGAATGTTTTAAAAGTTAGTTTGTATGTTTTGGAAGCAAAAGAGACAAGTTACAGGAAAATTTAAGCTATCAGGAAGAACAAATTATAAACCTCTGCGGTATATTTTTAAAGTTGGGGGAAATAATTTAAAAAGTCATTTTTATTTTAATTATCATTGTTTCATCTGAGCATAATTACAAAATATTTCCCATAGTAACAAAAATCTTTTTCTATTAATATATTTATCTTGTAATTTCTGGCCATTTTCCAGTGTTCTTGTGCATGCACAGAATTCTGCACAAGGAGACTTGTATAGACCTTCACAGGTGCAATACAGCAGCTACATGCATTGCCAAGTCACTGGATTAGGCATTCACAAAACTCTGCTCCAGTACTAGTTTTACTGCAATGAATGGCAATTGCTTGAAAAAACATTATGATGGTTTGAGTTCATTTGACAGATTTTAATGGTGGTTTATCAACATGGTAGAGATGTAGACGTAGTGGGCCCTGAAAGTTAAACCTCGATATTCAGAACACTCTAAAATAAAGAAGCTATTTGAAATTCAATGAGATATCTAGACATACACTTTGTTTTTTAAAAGGAAAAATTAATTTTAGAGAAGTTATTCTGTTATTTATTAGACTTTTAAAATGACCCCTAGTCAAGCAAGATCATATAAACATAGAACATAGATAATCCTATAATTCAGTTTATGAAACCAATCTATAGAGAATTGTAGATTACATGTATTTGTCAAAAGAAATTTATTCAGAAAAGAAATCAGCATTTAAAGCCTTCAAGACTTCATGATTAAAATGGTGAAAATCCAGGATTTTATTTATTTATGTAAATCAAGGATAACATAAATTGTTGAACCGACAACTTTCAGATTTTCACCACACTCAGAATCTTGTCCTTTGCTATAGCAATGTCCAATATGCATTACATTAAGAGTGCTGACGCTAAGTGGAATGAATGATAATTTAATGTTTGTTCAATTTTATAGAAAGGTAAATCAGTACATTCAGGTAAAAAATTGTATTAAGTGTTACCAAAACATTATCATAAGGGAAAGAATGCTACAGTATCAACTTTCACAAAACCTGAAAGCAAACACATAGCATGTTGTTTTTTATTACTTTATTTATCTGATAAAAAATGCAGTCTTGTATGTCAGTGGTGGCATGATTCATCCCATTTGGCATATGTGAAGGGGATCCTGAAAAGTTACTATGCTGAATCTTCCTCTTCTGTCTGTCTGTCTCTCTCTTCCCCTGCCCCATCTTCTAGATGCCTACCCTGGTTGGCAAGGAACATGATTGTTATGCTTCATTATGGTTGCTCAGCTTCCTTCTTTGGGGAAGCAGCCTGTGAATTAGAGTGAGCCACTATGGAAGCCTCAAGATATAAGCAATGTTCTGAAGCACTGAAATGCATTGTGCATAGCTGCAGCAAATTTAAAGACCTGAAGGAGAAGGCAGGCTTCATCAAATACCCTGTGGGAATCCTTTCCATGCCCAAATAGATACACACACACACACTGGAAAGATGGACTGAAGCTAAAAGAATTCTGAACGTGTGCATTCTTGTCAACCTATACAATCAATTCAAAATCAGTTACTGACAATTATGACCTTCTGGCATGAAACATTCCAAACTATATAGTTTTGCAATGATAATGTCATCAATAGCATTTCATAGCAGAGGGGAAAAAGAAATTAATATCTACATCATATATTAACTTTAAAAAAGTCTATAAAACACTAAATATATAATAAAAATATGCATATAAGGACATATGTAAACTGCTTTGGTAACATCGTATTACAGATGTTTTCAGTGCATTGCAGAGTTTCCAAGGAAACTGCAGACAAAGATATATTTGCTTTGAGGAAGTACTGTATAATGCCATTCCTAGAGAAGCATAAAACATTTTTTTTTCCAGTAGTAAGATGTACTTGAACAACAATATTACTTAGTACTGGGTGGCTTCAAAACAACTAGCTAAATGTTGCTTAGTTATATTATAAACAGGAAGTCCTTTCAATATTTTTTGTCATAAACTTGATCTCGCTGTGAGGGAAATCATTATTGTGCTGATGGCTGACAGTGTACAAGCATTTGAAGTTGAAGCTCCTGACCCTCTCGCATATGCATCTAAGAGAACAAAGAAATCAAGATGTTTAATATATCGCAACTTCACGACCTGAACAAATGAATGAAGCTTCTGCCTCAGATGTCAGGCACACATTTCTACTCAGCTGCTTCAGATAAAATACTCTTATATAAAGACTGCAAAACATGCTAAATATGTCTAAATAGAGGGGAAAAGATTCCTCTGTTTCAAGCTTCCACTGCCATGCAAAACTGTTCCCTTTTCATTCTAATGAAGGGAGGGCTTGTACAGAGGTAACCTTTCCATATTTCTTTGCCGTTTTCACTATTTTCTCTCTATAAGATAAAGATGGTTTGAAGTCAAGCTCAGGTGATAACCTGAAACAACCACACAGTTTTTCTAGTAGCAATGTAGGAAATAGTTCACTCCTGCCTTCCTCCAGGAAGTAGCTAGCTGCAAGTCTGTCATATATCTTTCATAATCTTTCATACATGTCATATATTTTTCATACAACTGATGAAAATGTTCCTAGTCCACACAGTCTTATCTCTCAATGAATTTGGGAATTTCAACATGCAAGAAGACTCTGCAAATATTTATGACAACAAATGAATTAAGTGAGCAAGGAAATGATAGCTTAATGTGCACACTTGAATACCCACAGAGTCAGTGACTACAATGGATTCTATTTCATTTTAATTTTCTTCTGGCAGTATTGTTTTAGATATTGTTAGATCCCCTAAAACAGGAGTAGTATTCCACCCGTGTAAAGATATGTTCTGGTGCAATGAATAGTTTCACCCTCAGCTAAAATACCAACCTCAGGGTCCAACAATTAAAACCTTAATGACATATGAAACAAATAAGAGTTATTCATTGAAATGTTGAGTTGTGTGGAGTAGTCCAGCTTGTCCTTTTAGCTAGGAGGGAGCAAGGTGAGGCCTATTTCTCATGCACCCCTGCTCTAGAGTATAGTTTAATATTGGCATCTTCATCTTCTTCTCATCTGTGTCTTTTTGTCTTGCTGCGTGATTGAAATGTAAAATGAAATAAACTTGTATCAGACAAGATGGGCACTGAAACTTATTTCTCTGAATAAACCTGTGTATGCTACATCTTGTACAGTTTCACCAGCTTTCTGTACTATTATTTCCACTGAAACGCACACATAACATTATAGTCCAAAGTAAATATGCTTAAATGAAATAGATGGTGCTGTTTTATACCTGTACCGCTTCCAGCAAGAAGATACTGTTTTATGTTAATCCCTACCTACCAGCTTTGAAACTATGTGGAACACTTCTGGTTCTATAGAAGCTGACAGATTAACTCCAAGATGGTCTGAAATAAAAATCTGATAAGAAATAATAATAGCTCTGGATGGGCAGGCGTCTTTCTAAGTCAGAGCCGTTTAGCATTTTAAAGATATTGGGGATAAAACAGATTTTATCTCTTCAGTCTGAATGTGAAATTGCAGAAGTAGAAAGGAACACCATTTTTTTAAAAAGAAAAACTCATACACTTTATACTTAGATGAACCAATACCATAAAAAAAACAAAACCCTCTTACTTGTTATCTTTGGAATTCGAATCTGTTCACTGCTGTTGCCATCCCCTCCATCACTGAATGGCTTTATTTCTATAATGTAATCTTCATCAAAGGGCAGTGAAAGCTCCACAGATGTTTTGTTTGTTTCTATAATAGACATACTGTTTTGTCTGTTCCATCTATAGAACACCTGGAACATATATTTGATTAAGGGAAGATAAAAAGGATTACATTGTAATAGAAATAGTTTCTTTTTCTAGGCACATAATATAAACTCTTATGTTCTCTAATGAAAATATCTTGTTTTCTAGGGGTCACGTCTTATGGTGGATTAGAAGGAACTTCTGACACATACTGTTATTTCCTAAAGCTGTTCTTATCTTCATTAGCTTTGAGAGGTCAGGAGTTCCAGGAGCACGAGACATCCCTCACCTTCTGCGGTGTAGGCTGATTAGCAGGAATATATCAGGCTGCTTCCATGACAAAAGTTTAGCAGCTTTATTTTGTATGATTTGTACTTGCTGCACAAATTACCAAATACTAATTCTTGTTTTTGAATAATATTTTGGTGCCATTGAAACATAAAGGAAACATGCAGTTTTGCTAGAGGTCCACTCTGTTCCTAGATATATTTAGGGGTGCCTAATTATTTTAATAGAAAGTTAGTAATGGGCATAGGATTACAGCCCAAGTGAACTAACTCAGTTGGTGCTTCTGTTACATGATTTATGTTTTTCACAATTAATTCACATTAATTGTACAAATAACCATATTTTTTCCTGCCCATTACCTACTTTGTATCCTTTCACTTCAGATTCATTATTCTGTGCTTTAACTTGATCCCAGTTCAGTATAATCTTAGAGTCTGATGAATTCCATATAATGTTTCCAGGAGGCTGACTTGGAGCTGAATTTAAAACATAGGAAACTGAATATTATTAAGAAGCAAGATTTTTCTTACATAATCACATTGCCTTGCCTATAATGTATGTCAGGCATTCTGTGATGAGCACCTATATTTTATAAGTTAATGAACAGTTGGACAAACATATATATTAAAACTCAACAGCAGATCTAACATGACAAACTGATATAAAATAAAATAGAATTGAACAACAATTCTGTACACTGATGACAGGTGGGAGTAGGCCTTGTTCTGAACAGAAAACAAATATTTATTTTCCCTGGCCAGCTTTTCATTTTCTGTGTCTTAATTATAAGATTAAGGATGAAGCAGGAATGAATAGGGACATTCAGAAAAGTAGAACCAATTAATATACCTTGTTGAACAATCACTCATTCAGCTGCTGTTCGAAGTTACGATGGTGCTGAATGAGGGGGACTTATGATGGGTCCTTGTAGTTGCGGCCATTGCAGCATTCCATGGTCATGTGATCGCCATTTGCGACCTTCACTGCTGGCTTCTGACAAGCAAAGTCAATGGGGAAGCTGGCAGGAGGTTGCAAACGGTAATCATATGACCATGGGACTTGTGACCATGCAGGATTCGCCTAACGATGGCAACTGGGACTGCTGCAACTAGCATTATAAGTTAGCATGGTCGTGTGACATCGCCACTTTACGAACTTGTTCCTTAACAACAGAGTTGCTGGTCCCAATTACCATTGTGAAGCAAGGACTACCTGTACATTAAAATAAAAATCCTGTCTTCCCCCACCCCACCATACTCACGTGGCTTTTTGGTTGTCACATTGACTACAGCACTGGATGGTCCCATCCCTGCTGTGTTGTAAGCTTTGACAGCCAAGTGGTATAAAGCACTGCTCTTCAAGTTGGTGATTTTTGCAAAAGTCTGATTGGTCATGGTTTTCATTCTTCCAGCCTGCTCTTCTTTATCTCCATGTTTCCAATATCTAACCTACACACGCACACATACAAATGTATACTTATTTGAAATCTACAGCTGAATGAGTTTATACCATCTGCATTACAATTCCAAGTAGATCAAAGCTTCCCTTAAACGTTTAAAGGAATCCACATGTGCCCATTATGTAGGTTTAAATTGGCACTACCAAATTTCTAACTGTTGAAATTTATAGATGATAAAATACCAATGATAAAATTCATCTATTTTGAATGTTGTTATCATCATCATCATCATCATCATCATCATCATCATCATCATCATCATCACATCGAATTAAACCTCTGCTTGGGGCAAATCTGTTTTGGGCCAATTAGGTGCAACATTTCAAATGATCATATGCCCTATGTAAGCAAGGAACTTCCTTTCCATAATCCTTGGATTCTTGGATAAACGCCATACTGGTTAAAATTAGGGGTAAGCATTTCTGATTTTATATTAAATGAGATGTGTGCTATTAACACCTTTACTGCTAAAAGATTTTGCCATAAATGTTGATACAATTTTAATATAAACAACAAACAAGGCACCTTAGTTGCTGAAAAGATTATTTTTGGAACTTTCTTAGCTCTTCCTAAATCGTTATAGTGCCAGCATTTCAGGAGACAGCAGTCATTCTAAATATTTTTTCCGTGCGTGAAGAAAGTAATCCCTTTCTAGCAAATGTTACAACTAACAACTTTCTTGCCTGTATCACTTAATGTTCCATTTAATTGCATGTTTTCAGGATAGTGTATTCTCTACAGGACATAGAAGTAGAAATTCCCATTTTAATGTCTAGTTTAAAAAATATTTGTGTTTACTTAGGTTTCCTGTGTGCATGAGAAGAAAAACTACATTTGTGACACAGAACACAAAATGGTATTTAGGCTATATGATGCATAGTACAAGGAATTTTTGGAGGTAGCAAATAGCTGATTGTTTATACACTTAGTGAAAATCTAAGATTTTTATTTGCAACATGATGCAAGTGAAAATCTAAGATTTTTATTTGCAGCATGATGCATTAAGAACTGCAGCCATATGTTCCGGAAGCTCATTGATAGCAATGGGATCTGTATTTTGTTTGTTAATTGTTTTTTGTGCATTAAAAACTAATAAACATTATATGATGCCATAACATTCCTGAATGAAAATGTAATGTGCCTACCTCATAGCCCTGTATTCTTCCTTTGCTCTGGGTCTCTGGCAGCAAAGACCAAAAGACTTCTATGTCTGAAGCAGAAAGGCTTTTGGCAAAGACATTAGTGGGAGCTCTGGTGGGTTCTAAAGAAAGCACAGTGATTAGCTGTAGGTTCATCACACCTCTTAATATCTTTAATTTTGGAATCCACAAGAAAAAATCTGGCATAGATGGCTTTAGGCTAATTAAATTAATGTGGTTTACACATGATCAGAGCTCTCAGGATAAAGCTGTTGTGCTTGTACACAACACCCAGTCATCCTACTAGAAGGAACTTCTGTTTAAGCCATATCAAGATTTTGTTATGATCTCCAATTTATAACATATAAGGCCAAGAACAAACTGAATGGTTTGTTTTTACTCTCAGGAGGGAACTAGAAATGTGAATGTTGCTTAGCCTCTATTCTAGCTAATACTTGCATTGGTTTGAGGATGAGAAATGGCAGGAAAAAGCCACAGGGTTGCCTTTTTTTAATGGCAGCTTCATCTCTAACATAATTTCTAATCAAGTTAGACTTGTTACCATCTTTTGGCTTACAATAACTGTTTCTTGGATTCACCATCAATCAGATTAAAAATATAACTGATACAAGCAGACGATAAAATGAGGAGCAAAAGTAGAGAATATAGGTAGTCTCTGGGTTAAGAACGCCTGGTTTATGGACAACCCATAGTTAAGAATGGAGCCTTTTGTAGCAAAATTCGAGTTAAATACACAGTGGTTTGAGTTAAATACACAATGGCTCGAGTTCATTACATAATACTACTTATACAGTTTAATACAATAATACTGTTCCGGCTTACATACAAATTTGACTTCAGGACAGACCTTGGGAACGGAACTCATTCTTAAATGGGGGGACTACCTGTAGTATCGCTTTATTTATCAGCTATACTTTTATATCTGTCTAAAGTCTACTTAATTAGGTGGACATTAATTTTTTGCCTGCCATAAATTGCCAACTCTTACAGCCTGCTTGCATATACTCATGCACATGTGATAAAGTAATAACATGTTTTAAAAACAGCCTACAATTAACACATGAGGAAAATATATAGATCCCTCTATTGAGTTCATAGGTATTTGTGCATGGAAACTCTATATGTGGTTATAGAAACAAACAAACAAGAAATGGTAAGCATTTGGAAGAGGAGCTAGTAGGTCCTGACTATTTTCAGCTTTCAGATCTTTTGAACATGACTGTAATTAGGCTGAGCTAAGCCGAGTATTTTTAAATCTGACTGGCAGCCGATCTCCAGAGTTTTAGGCAGAACCTGTTCTTAAGTTAAGGCAAGACTTTATTTGACATTAATTTGAGACTGTGTTGATTAGATTCAGGTCTTTGAAGACTGAACTTGCACGGATTATGATTTACAACTGAGTACGACTATCTCCATTGTGGGGATTATCCAATTACGTTAAAAAAAATCAAGTAAGAATTTATTGCTAAAATTAATTTAGAGAAATATTACTGCCATAGTGAGATAAGGGAATAGTTTATAATTAGACAAGATTAATTCATGCTAAATTTCAGTACTGCTCTTCAGAGGATAAATGCTCAACAGACATTAATTATGCATATCTGTGTATATGTACACACATACACACACATAAAATAGGGCTACCAATTATCAAAAGGCTTTACAAAACATATTATCACAATCCTAATGTAATTTCAGAATAGGTTTAAACTCAATATGCAAACATGCTACAGCATATACTGCCAACCCTGATAATGGTGCCATTAAGCATTAAAATGAGAAATTAACATTTTAATTTGTGAAAATATTTTGACCTAAAAGGTCCTCTTAAACCTCTCAATGAGCAGGGTAACATAATGCATGTCTCAAATGAATTATCTCATTCTTCAAACAAAATGTCACCATGATTAATATTAATTTACAAGAGAATGAATCCTAAAATTGGGTACATGCCGTTTCTTAGCAGCATATGTGGACATTAACAATACGAGGGGTGCGAGGCCATTTTGAAAACAGCCAGCTTATCATATACTGCCAGATTATTTGGCTATGCTTACCTTCGTCGGCTGAATAAACAACTGTGACAGGGCTGAAAGGACCTTCTCCTTTGTTGTTGTACACTCCAACTTTAACTTCGTATGGTGAAAATGGAGGTAAACTCTCATTCCGAAACACATATTTGGAGGCATCAGGCGAAACCACTACAGTCTGCATCCAACTTATTGTACCAACCGGGCGGAAGGCAACAACATAACCAAACCCTCCTCCATTTTGTAACTCTTCTGGCACTGTCTGTAACAAGAGAAGAAACACGGAAACAGGCTGATGAATAGGATGTGCTTAGAAAGAGGCACAGCCACATTTATCCTGGAGAAATTTAATAGAGCCAAAGAAGTTCACCTTGTAACATTTTTTCCTGGCAAAGGAAATAAGCACTCAATTCTAAAAGCATCCTATGTTTTATTGCTAATTTGTTGCAGGCCATTCATGTCCTTTTAATAGCCTGCTTCCTCTTTTGAAAGCCTTTAGTCCTAAAATAGCGTAAGCCAGAAAAAGAACCAACCATAGTTATAAACATTAGAGACAGTTAGTAATCAAGGCAGAAGCATCTAACTGCCATCTGCAAAGAGATTATTGCAAGTTTATTGTCTCCCATAAATGCATTAGCTGTGGTCTGATCCAAGTAAAGGTTATACTCAAGAATGGAACAAACTGCTTATGCAGATGGAGGATTACTTTCTGTTTTATATAGCAGCTATAACTCTTGACAAGAATAGCTGAGTAGTATCCTTCTTTAGCTCTGAGTCACAAATGTGAGCAAGGCTTCTATTACAGTACCCCAATAACAGAATAAGAAAAGAGCTTTAGCTTAGGTTTTTCTAAAAGCATCTTTGTGGATCTTGGAAATTGTTCTGGTTTTTTAGCATCACTATAAATGGAAAATTGATGCCTGAGTTTTTCCAGTTCTATCAGTTACATTCTCATTTCCATGAGGTATTTTCTAGTTCTTGCTTGAAATGAAGATGTACCAAACATACTCAGGGTTGGCTGAACTATTAGACAGAAAGAGAAAACCACTTCAGGATGACAGATGATGAAAGGCTTCAACCCTCAACTCTTTACTTTAGTCATTGTGCTCCATATTGGGACTGTCCTGCACCTCTCAGGTGTCATAGGAAAACATGTTGGCTGGGGGAATTCTGGGAGTTGAAGTCTGCACAGCTTAAAGTTGCTGAGGTTTAACAATGGTCTATCCAGTAAATTTATAATGCAGAATGTAAGAGGAGGGTATACCATCTTGTTCGTTGCTCAGGCAGAAGGGTGATCTTACAAAACTTCTATATTGCCCACCCTGTTCTCCTATAGCCTTGATCTAAGGAAGGGCTGATACAGATGAGCAAATTGTCTTCTCAACTTGCATCAGTATCAATCTTGTAAACAAGGAATATCCAATAAGCTTCCTCAAATTCCATGTGGTCCAATCAAAATGTGAAAACTTTGAAGCAGATGGTGGAAAATGAAAGTCTGATAAAGCGTACCTATTAGGATTAAAACAGTGCTGGCTGAACTGCGAAATTCTGGCATGGGATAAGACTGAAATGGTCATCTCACATTTAGTGTAGGATGCTGCTATTTCATCCCTGAAATCTTTCGGTAGCCTCTCTACCTCTGCTAGCTTTTCCTGAGGAGCTATTTTGGCCCTAAGAGCCAAGACCTGATTGTATGAATTACACACAGATAACTTCACCCAGCTTGGAAATTCTCCGATATATGATGTCAATGCAACATATAGTCCCCAATCTCTTAATGGTTATCTTTCCGGATACCTGTTTTTGTTTGGTTTAATTGGATAGCACGTAAGCCCTATTCTTTATATCTTTATATCATGAGGAGAGAAGGTCAACAGCCCTGGATTCTTCATCCTGCTGGCAAGCTTGCAGAGATTCTTGACTGTGAGCTGCTAGACTCCTGTTTAAAATGCTTTTTTTTGGTGGGGGGGGATGTAACAGTTTTTCCTTTGGATTTTATGTTTGGACAGTTGGGATTCTTGTGCTCATTCTTTGAGCTCACAGTCAAACAGTTAGCAATAAAGGTTCACTGCTGTGTTATATTATACCTGAATGATTTTTTGAGTTGCAGTGGTTGGGAAGTGTCACCAGTTACGACCTACCATGCATATTATATGATTCATAGTTGTTTGGTTCCTATATACAGTGGTACCTCGGTTCACGAATGCTTCTGTTCACGAACAATTCGGTTCGCGACCAGCACGTTTGCAAAATTTTGCTTCTGTTCGCGAACTCTGCATCGGGTGACGAACATGACCCGTGGCCATTTTCCCTGCTGTGACACATGGTCATGGCTTCCTGTAGGCGAGATCGCGGTCGCAGACAGACACTGGCTGTG